ATAAAACTGAGTCTAAAATTCTGCCCACATTTGTCCCAGGTGTGAAGCTTGTTTTAACCTAAAGTTCTGGGTTTAATCTATTGAAATAATACAATGAAAAGTGTACAAATTTAAGATGCATCAAAATTGCATTTGTCTTGAAGTTTGGAAATATCCTCATCACAGAGAACAAATACAAATCTTTAGCTAGTACCAGTGCAACCAGCCCATACAAAATTAAGCAATAAATACCCATTGGCATGGGTGAGAGATTATTGCCAAGCCAAATTGGATGAAATTAGGATACTTCTGAACTTTTATTTTTGAATAAAAGTTTTTAAACTCAAGCCATAATCTTTCCTGAAGTCCCAGAACTGGGAGAAAATAAACCTAATTTCTGGGATATTACAAGAGCCACTGCTAATAGATTTCTTTCTAGCCAACCTGATCTGTCATAAGAATGCTCCCATGAGATGCCAACCCCTCAGAAAACACCAAAGGCATTGAAATTACCCACATAAGCCTTTGGAGTGCTTTTGAGGTTCACCTACGTTGGGAGATCCCTTCCATTTCCTTCACTAGCCATGTGTAGGGTCTCATTGAAGTGACTAACAGTGACTACCTGACAAACTAGTGATGAGTAGTGAGCACCTTGTGAGGGTAGATGGAACAAGTTAAAGTCCCCTAGGGGAATTTTGTAATACTTATCCATCTGTCCTGAACAAAACAGGTCAAAACACTGTGCCTTATTCCCCAAGCAGCTGCATTCCCATGCAGCAGACTTTTACATTCCTTCCAGAAACCACCGTGCAGCTTTTCAGTGCTTGCTGAAACTGATGCAACAGTCACGGGGGCTTTACTGATCTGATTTCTAACTAATATAATAGGAATATGTATTCACCATAGATTTTTAAGTTGTCATTTCTGGATGTCAAATTTTGATATGGATAGAACTCCTTTTTCCTGAGAAAGAGCTATATGTCCAAGGAGAATATAAAAGTCTCCTTTGCTGTGAAAATCAGCTCTCCACAGTCTCCAGGTATGGAGTAAAAGCAACCCTAACAAGAAGGGTTTAGGGCACCTCAGAGTATGTTGTTCTTCCTGGCAGAAAGTGAACTGAGATCCTCCTGTGCAAAGCAGCAGAAAAATCCAATGTTTTCATAATTGATATGCACCCTAAACTGCTCCTTTCTGTGTTGTATGAGCTGCAAAATGGATGAAATGTTACTGGAAATGTCTTCATTCTGCACATTAAGGAAAAACTTATAATAAATTATGTTTGTGTGCTTTTATTAACCCTTGAACTTCTGCTGAGCAATGCATGTGTTTGAACAAGAGTTGAAAAGCTATTAAAATATTTGCTTAAATACTTTACTACAGCCTAAGAATTGAGCTCCAAAGCCTCTGGGATTTGAAGACTCACAAGAAAGTTAACTGAAGGAAGTCTGGGAGAGGTCAGCATGCTCAAGCACACTCCTACACAATCTTCCACCTCCCTTATCAGCTTTAATAAACTTGACTCCTACTTTCTGATCTTGAAATTCAAAGGACCCATGCAAAGATTTCCCAACTATGTAGGCTGTGTTCACGGCAATCTCATCTTTGCTCTATAAATGTAGAGTCAGTTAAATGTATAAACTTTGGCCATATTTTCTATTGCTTTATTCCAGTTTTACACTTCCACAGTTGGCTGATTTCTGTAGCATTAGGCTACACAAGAAGCAAGCCACCTGCAGATTTTATTAAAAATGACATGAGCTGCAATACTACAATATTACCTCTGATTTCCTTTACTCAAATGAAATACTTTTCTTCCTGTGAGACATATCTTTTCTTGTTTTTGCATTTCATACACTTTAGCCAGATTTATCTCATGCCAAACAGTAAGACAGTTCTCACAGCACTGCCTGTAACCCAGTTCACCTAATTCTCCCTTTGCCTATGCCCTTAAGTCTTTAATCACTAGCAATCAAATATCAGAGTCACACCTGCTTTTTCTTACTGGCTCAAGAAATGTTTTAATCTTTTGTCCTGATAGAAATCTTCAGCAAGAAGGTCAGAGTCCTGTGAACAGGGTTACAATGCTCCTGGAAAGGGTGGGAGATGTCATTCCAGAATCTCACAGGTTAAAGAAGAACACAACTCTCCCTCGGCCAGGGAGAGTTGGTCACAGTGGGAGATTTTTGCCTGGGGTTTTGAAAGAAAGATGCCATAGCAACATTTTGTCGAGATTCTGCTCTTGTTGGAACATGTTGGTGCTCCCTGGGAGGCCTCCAGCATTGTAATTCCCTGTGGATTTGAGAGACATCTTTCTTTCAGAGCTCACTTGAGTCCAAGCACAACATAGGTGACAAGCTGCTCATTAATGTCAAAACTGGGCTAGTTCTCTATGTGGAAGCTGCCCAAACACAAACAGTGGGATTCATCTCACCCAAATATAGACCTCAGCAATGTAGAAAACCATGCAGCCAGTACACTTTGCCAGATTTTTTATTGTTAGTGAAGTCTTAGCACATCTAGTTCAGGTATTTACTTCAGGATGAGATGACTGCCACCTCAGAAGAATTTGTTTCTCTTCACAGGTGGAAAAGGGAGTGTTGGCAGTAAACTCAGAGAGAGATCCCTGCAGTGCAGATGACTGAACATGGGCACGAGATCTCTACTTCCACACCCAAAGAGTGTTCATGTCAACAATACTGCACCTGGGGGCTACATTCGGGCCACTTTTGGATCCTATTTGTGAGTTGGACTTCAGTGTTTAATCTTTATGGAACATAAAAGTTACTTACACTAAAGTCAGAGAGTCTTAAGCACCTTTTAAAATATTAGCTTTCTTTTGTTATAGTAGGAGCAGAGTCACCAGGTGGTCATGTTAAATATAATCTTACACATTCCTTTTCTTAGTCTACAAGGAATACATGCACTTTCAAGGAATGTTGTACTGTTAGTTTTTGGTGTTCAGGTTTATGAGGGAGCTTTTGTAAACAACCAGGGAGTTCAACCTATCTTATGCTCTCTGATTAGATTCAGTTCTTGGTGAAAATTATTTCCTGAGAACCTGAAAGTGGCTTTTGGGTTAAGACTTCTAAATAAGGTTTAGCCTGCATGTAGTCTATGACCACCTATGTTCAGTGACTTGTGCACAGTACAAATACATGACTCTAAGATATTCTGTATCACTGATTTCTCCCCTGATAGAAAGCTGTGTTGCAAGCCTTCCAAATCCATCAAAACCAGGCAACAGTGTTGTATTTCAGGGTCTATCCTTACTTTCCCAAATGTGCACAACTGCCATTTATTTTCATTGAAATCATTTGAACTCCAATGCAAAATAGATGTTACTTGGGGATGCAGTCAGTTAATATATGAGAATCTTGTGAGCCTTAGAATCAGTCTGGCTTGTGAGTAGGTTATTTGTTTGTTTATTTTATTCCTTATTTATAAAAGAGATGACAGCCCACCCAGTGGAATTTTCCCATCAAAAATAGTATGAAACAGAATAATGGAATGCAAGATTGATTAGATGGTGTGCTTGTTGGCAATGGGTGCGTGTACTTCTTAATCTTAATGGATCATAAAAAAAAGAATCCTTTCATATTTGCCATAATGCATGTGCTAAGTTGTGGGTTCCTAGCCAGTGCAAAGAAATATTCTATGATTTCCAGAGATACAAAGTAAGAATTTCATACAGCACATAAGTGGGGCCTCTGTTTAAATGCATAAAGATAATTTCTTAATTGTGGCAGTGATATTCATTAAAAAGCTTTCCAATAGTACATGCAGTTCCCACACTGGTCTCTCTCCCACTGTCTGACAGACAGACAGCTTGGTTACACATGCTCAGAAAGGAGGGTGGGGGCCCAGATTCTTGGCTGTCTTGAAGTGGCCACATCCTGCCATCTGCTGAATCCTTCTGCTATTGGCAAATCCAGGGAAGAATATTTCTGAGGTGTCTTAAAATATTCCACACCTCTGCAGAAATGTTTTATATAAGGACAAGTATACAAATGCTTTCAAAGAGAGAGAAACCAGCTTAAAATCCTAAGGAATGGAATATTTTTTTTTTTTAAATCCCTAGATATAAAGAAAATATCACAGAATCACTGAATATTCTGAGTTGGAAGGGACCCAAAAAGATCATCAAATCCAACTCTTTGCCCTACACAAGACAGCAATAACAACCACAGCACCTGCCTGAGAGCACTGACCTAACCCTCCTTGAGCTCAGTCAGGCTGGTTCTGTGACCACTTCCCTGGGGAGCTGTTCCAGTGCCCAACCACCTCTGGGTGAAAAACTTTTCCTGATAGCCAACCTAAACCTGCCCTGGCACAGCTTCAGGCCATTCCCTCAGGTCCTGTCACTGTCACAGAGCAGAGATCAGTGTCTGTCCCTCTCTTCCCCTCACAAGGAGCTGTACCTGCAGTGAGGTTGGCCTCAGGCTCCTCCAGGCTGAACAGACCAAGTGACCTCAGTCACTCCTCACACGGCTTCCCCTCAGGGCCCTTCACCATCTTTGCTGCTCTTCCTTGGACACTCTGCAATAGTTTAATGTCCTTTTTACATTGTGGCACCCAAAACTGCCCCAGCGCTGGAGGTGAGGCTGCCCCAGTGCAAAGCAGAGCAGGACAATCCCTGCCTTGCCTGGCTGGCGATGCTGTCCCTGATGTCCCCAGGACAGGGATGGCCCTCCTGGCTGCCAGGACACTGCTGGCTCATGTTCAGCTTTGTATCAACCAAGACCCCCAGGTCCTTTGCCCAGCACTCTTCTCCAGCTTCTCTTTCCCCAGTCCTCTAATTTGTTGAGGTCTCTCTGCAGGATCTCTCAGCAACTCTCAATTCTGTATGATCTGAAAAATTTCTTATTAATCTTTATAGATGTACCAGGAGGCTAGTGTCTAAACTTTTACATGTTTAGTTGATCACAGGAGTACACAAGATTTAATCCTTGGGGTCTTTATAAAATTTGTAAGTCAAGAAACAGTCAGAGTTCATACAGTAAAAAAAGGCAGGCACCTTCTCCTTGGGTCACATTTTAATGTTGCAATCACAGCAACCATATAATATTTAATATGCATATATTTACAGGTAAAATTAACTGAAAAATTCATAATATTTCTTCATTTTCTTACTCCCTTTCTCTATCTCCATTAAAAAAAATAAACTTTGGATTTCCTCCAATGATTTCTTTGTTGTCTAAGCATTCACACTGTAGGTTTCTCACTTCTTCATCTCATGTAACCAAGACTCTCTCCTTTTCCTTAGTCGTTGTTTAATGTGAAAAGTGTCATGCTCCTTAGAAAAAAATCTCAGTTATCTGGAAGCACCTGGAAAGGAACAGAAGAAGGTAAAAGAATAACAATACTCCCTTTGACAGCTAAACATATTGCTTTTGCAAACCAGAAGGTCTTAGATTTTAGTCATTGGGTTGGTGTCCCACACCTGAAGAACTTCTATGAAACAGGAATATATTCTGTCTAAATGAGCCTGATGAAAAATCCATAGTCCTAACATCTGGAATATGGTTCTTGTGCCATTTTGTCCTGGAAAAATTTATTTGCAGGATGGCCCTCCATTATTTCAGAAGCTAGTATTTTCTAAATTCAGTGTTAGTTTTAGCTACATAACATTTAAGCATTTCTTTTTGATTGAGCAAAATCCCCTCTGAAATAAATGACAGCTTTACTTCAATAGGTATGTTCAGGCCAGGCCCCTAATTAATCAGCACTGACATTTACAAGAATCACTGCTCTCTGCTATGCCAAAGGGCTTGGGTTCAACTCCCAGGAGCAAGGGATTTGGACCTATTTCATCATAAGGACTTCTTACGACTACTTTTCTCTGTCATGTAGCCCATTCTTTAATGGAAAAACACTATAGAGCAATGAGTGTGTTTACAAAATAACAGAAAAATGTAACCCTCTGAAAAGAAAATTCTCTCTATAGATTGCAAATGTCCACAAAACTATTTTCCTTTTTTTTTTTTCTTTTTAACTACATGTGGCTCTTCTGGACTGGCATTACAACTCCTGCTGTAAAGTTTGTTTGAAACATGCCCATTTAAACTGCAATGTTTTGCTGCATTGCAATTTTTTTTTCACTTCATACTAAGGTGGCCTCTAGAAAAGTAAAAACATATGCAGATTCCTTAATATTGTCTAAAGGGAAGCTAGAAACTGCATCATGAAAAATTGATCATGTGAAAATGATATCTGATCTGCTGTAAACTGCAAACTATGCAGAGTATCTCTTGGAATAGTTCAAAGTCCAAAGTCCAAAGCTATACCAGCAACTCTGCTAACCATGTCATAGTAAATAGTAAAACTAGTGATTATCATCACAAATGGATAATGCCATGTAGGAGATCTGCTCTCCAATTCTAGTTTTGCAAAGAAAACAACCTTGTCTACAAAGAAGGAAATGGTTCATGACATTAGCTTTCTTTTCTACAACTGCGCTGGGAGGGTCACAGGCTGCCTCCATGACCTGGACTATCGAAGAACTGGAGATCCCCAAAGGGACAATCTCTCTGCAGATTTGGAGGTTTGAGCCTGGATTTTCTTCAGTCTTGACTTTCACATACCTCTGTGATTCCATCAGCTGCCAAAACTTCATTCCCATCAGGAGGGTTAGTAAAAACTGAAGGCTGTCCAGGCTGCCAAATTCTGGGACAAATTGTTCCCTGCAGAGTACTTTTGGAAAGGACAGAAACATAGGACTGATAATTATATTATGAAATAATAAGAATAGTTTCTTGGGTTTTTTGGGCCAACAGCGGGAGAAGAAATTATAGTGATAAAATCTAAGAAATCGGAATTGCACCTTCTTCAAAAATCATCTGTAAAAGGCCAGGTATCCACAAAAGTCTGTGTGAAAGATTAAAAGCCTCAGGATTTAAGAAACATCTTTCTTTTGCACTCATATCCCAGCACATGGTACAAAATCCAGTGATACTGCAGATGCACCGTTGTTTGCAGCTGCCGATATGCTGTCAGCCAGACAATTTATCCTGTAGGGTCTTGTAGGCTGAGAGAATTGTGCTGCAGCTGCAAAGTTCATTCCTGTTCATCTGGATGGATTTTTAACAATGGTCTCTGCTCTCCCCACTGCCCAAACAAAACTATCTATAAATGGAAAACTCCCTTCCTCTCCCTCCAAGGCCCTGAGGTAGCCGAATGAATGCAGCACGCATGGTGCTAAGTGTCTCAGAGCTAAAACATGCTTAATACATGCAAATACCAACATTAGCCATTATGAACAGGCATGATTTATGTGCCTGTCAGCAAGACATCAATCATGGCTACAGAGAGTCAGCAGCAGTATCAACAACAGTAGCAGGAGTGGAGGGTCAGAGCCAAGATGGGATGGTCCTTCCCAGCAACCCGGGGGGAAGAGAAAGATGGATGAAGTAGTAAGAATCCCCAAACAGTGTCTTTTAGGGAAAGGGATGCTAAATTTTAAACCATCTCTTGAGCCCAGTCAATGTCCAAGATTATTTCTTTGTTAGATCTGTAAGAAAGAGAGAACCAGCACGGACATTTGGAAATGCCATCGGAGGAGGGATTCTGGACATATCAAAAAGAAGTCAGGGTTTTGAAACTGTGACCTCAAAGGTATTTAAAGGGATCTTTTCAGGAGATGTATTTACCTGATTTGCTTTCTTTCTGATTTGCTTTCCTGTGCAGATGGCAAGCGTATTTAACTGTGAAACTTTTCCTTACCACAAATTAGAGCCAAGAAAGAAAATACATCAGAGCTATCTTTGTACAGATGATAGTATAACTCAGAGAACTGTCTCTGAGGCCATCCTGTGATAACTAACTTTGGCTTCTGAGTAATTTAGAAAATACCAGTTCATGCTAAGGATACAGTTGGGAACTTGTTGCATTTTGGATTTTGCTTTTTTACTTTATGTAGTTGGCAGGAGAAAGCTGAGCTAGAGGAGATGTTGGCTGAGGTGATAGAAAAAAACAATGATGTTTTATTTATGTATCTCAGGCTGTACTTGCAGTTGGCTGGAGGCACTAGATAAAGATACTTAGATTTTACTAATAAACTGATAGGCAAAGAAATAGACATCCCTGAAAAAAATCTGTCAAGGACAAATAAAAGCAATTCCGTCTCCATGTGTTAAGAAATAACTGATTTGGCATATTTGTTTCCAGCTGGGACATACAGCTGAAGTGTTAAAAAATGTCTCGAAATTCCCTAAAAATGGATTACCTGTCAAATTTACAGGCTCAGACAAATGCATGTAGCATCTCATCCCCAAACTGGGTAGACTGTACATCAAGTGATGAATAATACTTTTGAAAGCAAAGGCAAAATTACTCCTGACAAGAATGAAACCAAAAATAACTCAATTTTTTTCTCTGTCTTGCATGGCACAAGGAGTTTTGCTAAAATATATCTTTTTTGCATGTCCTTAGACCAGCAGTTGAGAGATATTGAGGATTCTGATGAAATTTCTTATCAAAGAAGCACTAGAAACATCATAAATATATTGCAAACTGTTCAAAGAAATATAAAAAATACGGTATGGAGAAAAGTAAAAGCACATATTCATTACAAAGTAAGGAAAGATAATTCAATTGAGGCTACATTTTCTGGAAGCACATATATCCAAATTGTGTTTTAAATCGGTGACATCTTAAGAAATGTGAGCAAGTGCAAATAGCAGTTTAAAGCAGAGGGGGAAATTCTGATCAAGTCACACAGTACAAAAGACCTAATAACATATGCTGTTGTGTGATGACAAATATTTTAAGAATTTTTTGCTTATTTTCTTAATAAATATTGTAAACTGTTACTGACTTTCTTGATTCTGCTCTAACCTTGTCAGCTGTGGAGCATTCCAAGACATTGGTTGACAGAAATCAACAAATGTAACAGTTTAAGTATCCCACTTTGTATATACTTTTCTGCAGTCCTTCAAGAACCAAATTCATCCATGTGAATGCAAAACAAAGTTGACAATTTCTGTTTCTCCATTCCACTGCTGAACTTCTCTTGACTGATGAAGCGCGTGTGGATGATTAGTAATGGAAATATTCAGGATTTTTAAGGCTGCAGGGAATTTTTACTCTGCATTACCTTTTGGTAACTTCTGTTCGGGTTAGTCTCTCTCATAGCCACACAGTTCTGATGGAAAGATTGATATTGATGGAGAATTTATTATATTTATTTGCAATTTTTTAAAAGTTTTTAAGTTATAGCTCATTTATAGCTTGATTTGGCTACATGAGTTTTGAGGCACAATTCTCTAAAAACAGAATTAGGAGTGAAATTATTGCTTAAATGGTGTGGCGAGACACAGCATGTTATCAACTCCAGATATGGAGGATAGCTTTTATACTCTTTGTAATATCTCAGCACACTGCTTTACCTAACAGGAGGTTAACTCAAGCTAAAAATATGATTGCTCATTTATTTACTTATTTATTTATTTATTCCAAATTTAATTAATATTTATTCTTACTGTCTTTTTTTTTCTCAAATCTTGCACAAATTGTTCCTGTAATTAAATGGTTTCTGATCACAAACTAGTCATAATTGATAAGTAATTTCTTCTACTTTCAATATGACTGCTGCTTTTTGTTTCAGACTTTCTGGATATATTAGTGTTATTAATCAGCTCAACAGAATTCAGTAAGTTTTATTAAAATAAAGTGCCCGTTTTTGCAAGCAATACCCTCAGAAATTTTGACCAGTGAATTAATTCTTACCCCAAATTAAGTCACTTATATGGATCAAAATTAAAAAATTTTATAAAGGAATTTCATTCAGCTCCTTGGACAGCATGAAAAGTGGAAGTTTGGTAGGGGTGGAGTTTTTTATATGTGTATAGCAAGATTTTTTGTTAGGTTTGATGCTTGAAAGAGAAAGAAAGAACAACAATGTACAAGATTTAAACATTCAGTGAGTATCCACAGTTTTCCTTGACTTCATATCTGACACAAGTCAAAGAAGCACCCAAGGATGCAAGCCACAATTGTACTAGGCTGCAAGTTCCCAAGATTTTTGCAGCTGAATCTCAGTTATAAATCTATCCATTGCCTTACTTCTCCTCCTCCTGTCTGCTTTTTGCTCTTTCATAAAACTACTTTCCTCTGGAATATATTTGCATGTCACTGGAAAGGCCTGTCTCATAGATTAGAAGCTAGTTTTTAGGTTGCAGTTATCCTAAGCACATCAATTACATCTTAAGAGTGACAAAAACTTGCCATTTTTATACAGTATTTCCAATATCATGTTGTGGTATTTCTAAATAGAGCAGCTAAATTGGTGCAATTGGTTGAGCTTTACTATCCAAAGGTAGAAATCCTATAGCAAACCCACTGGTATTAACATGTTTTTCTCTTTGGTGATGAAAGATCTTGTGAAGATCTAAGGTGCCAGAAGACACAGAGATGAATCTGTCATGTGAAACAGAAATACATGCAACTTCTAGAGGGAAAAAAAAAAAGTACTTTTGTATACAATGGATAACCCCCCTGTTACTTGCTTTGCATAAAGGCAACTGCTGAAGGCACCTGGAAAATACAATGACTCTTAAAAGGCTTTGCCTATACTCTATCTTCATTACAGTGAAAGGCATTGTTCAGAATTTTTCATGTTAAACTACCCTGAAAATTTCCCTCACACATATTTTGAATGCTGAAGACCTTTAACAAGAAGTTTTTCTTTTTGTTGAGCATGTATGAACATTAGCACTTGTCTATATTTAAAGAGATTTTTTGGTATAGATCAACTGGTGTAAAAATACCAGAAAGCCTTTTGCAGTAAAGAGGTTTTTTAACATCTTAACTATTTTTTTTCTTGTTAGATTAAGATCCAAAAGAAAAAGAAAGAGTTTGTTAGTATAACTGCAGCTGGAGAGGAAACAAACAAATGCATACCTATATGTATAACTGTATCTGACTGTTGTCACTTTTTGTATTAACAATACTGGTTAAAAGTATAAGAACAACTAATAAGGGAAGATTTCTGTTCCGAGAGACATCAGTATAAAATCTGAGCATGTAGTACTGATATCTGTAGCTAAGTCATGTTTTCAGAGATACTGTATCTCTGGCAAGAAGTATCTTTATGAGGGAATTAGAGTAATAAGCCATCCCATTTGCACAGTGTTATGGAAGAGGTAAAATAGAGTTGGAAAATGCTCTTTACCATTATTTTTCCTTAAAATTTTTTTGGCCTCTTAAATTATAGACTCAGTATGACTGCAAAGGATTTGGGCATTGACATTGCTATATTTTGAGAATTTAAAATATCATTGGTAGAAGGGGGTTGGGTGTTTCTGAGTGTGTGAGGGGGAAGGTGGCCTTGAAAATGTCTTTTTATTCCAGAATATGTTCATAATCCTGGTCTGTTTATACATCTTGTGTAGTCAGGTAAGTTAAAAGTATCTGTGAAACACTCAGATATAACATAAATTGTAAATATATATCAAAATATTTTCAGAATAGCAATCTCATGAGCACTTGCAATAGACCACCTAGAAATATTTCCAGAAAAACAGAATCTAATCTGTGCCAGACCCAGCTGTAGATGTGGACAGATCTTGGAAGTTTCAGGTAAAATCTGTACCAGGAAACTGAACAGTGCCAAGACCCCTGGGCTGGCCAAGTGGCACAGTTTGCCCACATCTATGAAATTAAGGTTTTTTAGCTTAAATTGTAACTCCACCCAAACTGCCTCCTGGCAATGATCCTCCAGCAATTTTGACTCCTGCACATTATCTAGGAATGCTTGGGAAGGGGTTAGCGGGAGAGGGTCAAAGCCATTCCAGGGTCTGTGCTAACAATTTTACAGTGCAGAGTTTCAGTGTCTGGGAATGTTTCCAGGTAATCTTTAACTTGCCATTATAGAAGCAGTTTCAGAGCTCCAGAAGTTGAGCTTCTCAGCCAGATGTTATCTGGCTACACCTCCTGCCATATTTCCTTTTCTATTATGATTTGTTCTGTACTGTTGGGATGGGAGGGGAAGGAAGGGGAAAGGACAAGGGAGGGGAATAAGTTTTTTCTTCAAATTTATTCACTTTGACATCATTGACACTGTGGACATCATAATTGAAGGAATTCTGCCATTTTCCAACTGTTCATATTAGTAATTGCACGGGAAAGGTAAGAGAATTATAGGACAAAAGACTGTCTTTCTTCAAGGTGGCAAATATTCTTAAGGCTTTAGTATCACATAAATGAAAACCAGATAATTGCACATATATTTTTGTTAACAATCTAACAATATTTTATATGAATAGCTAAAATTAATAATAACAGCATCTTTTAGGTCAAATATACTCATTTATGTAAAGCTGCAACAAGTGTTCCTTTCTTGCTTTAGATGGTGGGAGAAATTTCGTCTTCCTTATTGTTCACAGGAAATCTAGGAATTCCAGTCCTTACACCAAGAAGGTTTAGTGTTCTGCTGCTGGTGGTGATGTGTTTCCCTTAGAAATGCTAGGAATATGTTTTTCTTCAGTTTTGTATCTTCCTCTGGCTTTGCCTTTGTAGGAAATTAAAGCAGAACACAATCCTAATGTTAGCTATTTAAAAATTAACATTGAATAACATTATCTAATTCTGAATGACTCCTAATGGACTTCTGAGAAGAAAGGAGTACAAAGTGACCTATCCAAGCCAATCTCTAGAAAAGAACTTCAGTATGATGGGAATAAATTACTTGTGTATTTCTGAGGACTCCTAGCTTTTTAAGTGGGATGGATGTGCCCAAACCAGATAGTGGAACTAGGGCCTGATATTTTCAAACCCAAAGAGTATGCCTAGTGATCATTTAGGGAAAATATTAAATCATCCAGGCAAATACATCAGGCACCGCACTAGCAATCAAATATGAGTTGTGTATAAATTTGTGTCCTGAAAACACTATGTGTAATGGTTTAATTCAGTAGTGAGGTGTGGCCATTAAGAGTGATATGGTTTAGAATTTTCATAACAGAAGAGTTGCAGGGAAGAAAAGGAGCATAGTTCAAAGATGTAAATAAGGTGACAGCACGGGAAGCACAAGGAGTATTGTGATAAAACATACCTGCCTTCAACCCAGAAAGTAATTACAGTAGACTCATTTAATTGGAAGATTAATGTTACATCTTGGATTTCTAGTTGGGAATGACTTATACACGATGCTTTAAAAGTCTTCAAACTCTAGATACCTGTTACCCTTACCTTTCTTTTCTTCTCAGTAAAAATACCAAAATTTTTGTGAAACAACAACTGAACTGCTGCAATTTAAATTTTTTACAGCAAATTAAAATTAAAGGTAGTTTACCTTGTAATGCTAGATTCTAAAGTGCAGAATTTACTTAATAAACAATTCTTTTTCTCACACAACAGGGCAGGACAGAGCATTCAATGTATTAGCTTTATGTGATTTTCCACTATCCAACTTATGGGTGAAAAGCCTTAATAGGTGGTAATGGTAGTCATACCAAGAGCTCACCAGTTGTAAGTGCTGACTGACTGGACATATGCTCCACTGCCACTCTAGTGTAAATCATGTGACCTCAGACTGTGTTTTTGAGAACACAGAACTTGTTACTCTAATATCATGTACCTCTCATTTATGTTGCCAAAACTTCAACTGGAAGTTGTATCTATGAGAGTTGTAATTGGTGAGATAAAGCAATCGAGTCAGAAAAATGGTTTGCAGCCAGTCAGAGGGATGGACAGGAGAGGTTGAAAAGTCAGACACAGACAAGAGTAATCCAGGACCAAAATTTCCAAGAGATGCGTATTTCAGTATTAATCTTAGAAAACCATAAAGAAAAAAAAAAACAGATCTTTGCCATGAATCTGAAGTGTTACCCAGTATTTCTGGAATAGTAACACATCTTGAATTATTCCTATTCATTTTCTGAAATAAATCTTCTAGTGCTGATCTATGAAAATACCTAAAAGCAGAAAAAAAAATCTTGACATCCCTGATCAGGCTCTCCACAGACAATGCTGGTAGCTTTTTTTGGACTGGAAAGCCCACTCTTTAGTGGAGCTAAAAGCCATAGGCTTTAATGATGGGAGACCTCCTTCTGCATGGAGCCATCTGCCCGAGGCACACTGAGCCTTAGAACTGTTTACCATAGATGGATCTACAATGCTTTACACAGTGAGATGCTGGCACAGTGTTCACAGTATGCTATGAACACTAGGAAGCCATAGCAATATTGGTCAGTCCTTCATAACTTCATTTCCCAAATGTTCATAATTAAACAATTTTTATTTAAGTAATCAGCATGAAATCCTTAGCTTTGTTTTTGCAACCGGTATTGTGTTTATGGAGCCAAATATTGAAAACTTTGATACTGAATACCTTGTATGTGTTAATTTTGGCAACCTTTAAAGATTCTGTAGATGCCTTGCTATGTTACCACCACCCACTCTTCAACCCCCCTGGCCATCAGTCCCTCCAAACCACAGAGACATGTTTCTCTTTTAATACTTTCTTGCAGTATTTCTCATGAAAATCACAGGGAATCGTGTGTGATTTCAGCAGAGTGAAACTTGATCTCAAAGTGTCTGTAGGACCAGAAGTTTTTAAAGAAAACATTTCTTAAATCTTGTGTTCACTGCTGCTTCAGCAGGCCAATTAGACTTGATGGGAATTCTAGAAAGCTGTCGCCAGGCATTGCAGCAGGAATAGCAAACAAGGCCCAAAGCAAATAAACGAATGGGTAAAGTGTGGCCATCCTCAGAACCTCCTTGCTGATGACCTTCTCGTCTTTGCAAAGGGGTGCTGAAGGTACTGGATGAAGGGACTCCAGGTTAATTAGATTTGACATTAGTTAACAGCAGCAATTACTAGAGAGTAATTAATCAGGGAAAGTCTCCAAACAGAAGGAGAATAAATAAACGGGCGGTAACATTCTGATCCATTTACCCCCCTAGATAAAGATGTGCCCCAGGTGTCAGGCTGAGGTGGGACTAATCTGTCTTGCTCAATTTCTCCCTGGAACTTGGGTGACTCTTCACACATCCATCTTCCTTCACATGGAGACAAACAAGCATTCACTAAGCCATTAATAGCACCATTCCTATAAAAACTCAGGATAGAAAAACATTAAAATTCCTCTGTCCTTCCCGCATTTTTTTCTTTAATCCCCCCTGCTGCACTTCTTAAAGAACTCTTCAACAAAGTTCTGAGAATGCAAATGAAATTACTTTCTACTTTCATTAACTAGTATAATTTCAATACCCTAGTAGTAGTCGTTTCTACATCCACAGCCAGCAGTTTTTCACTGCAGCCAATACCAAGGAGTTCCAGCTACTTAACCTGTAAAGAGCCAAGTTCCCTGGTTTGCATTTTCATCCAGGCCAATGGGGGTAGATCACATGGAATATCCTAAAAACTACAGCGAGCACCACCAGCTTACTTAGTAATCAGCCATGGCCTTACTCCAAGCACAGGCACTGGTGTTGCCCCAGAGGCAGCTCCCAGGACTGAGCTGTGATGCAGCTCCTGCTCCTCTGCACTGCTCCACAGCAGTCCTGTACCTGGCACAGGTTATTTCCACTCCCATGTGCCAGCTCAGTTCTGCTGGCTGGAGCAGCGTGGGAATCAGATGCAAAGCTCAGAGCAGTCCCACTTACATGGAGCAGGACTAACACCACAGAAGGGGCTTTCCCTGGCACAACCAGCTGAAAGATATCAATACTCCATGCAAGAGATGATTTCTGAGCCCTTTCTGCCTTAATTATGAACTGAATTCCAGCCTGTCTTAGTTTATATGGACAATTTTTCTCCCAGCATACTTTTGAATGTAGAAGGACTGAAGAGGGATCAACAATGCTCATACCATATTAAGGGCATAATATTTAGAGTCTTATTGCATTTGGTTACTTTATTCAGTAAGACAGACATTCTACAGGCAGACTATTGTTAAAGTTATTGGGATTTCTCTATGAAGTCTTCGTCTTCACCATAAGTAAAAAATCTCTGAAATATTGATGCAGAACCAAAATGCTGATATAATATTCTAATGTTATGGACTATACAAATTTGACGTAATTCTGTACAGTGCATATTTTTTTAAACATAGCTAGGTTTAAATAACCTAACCTAATAAACTGTCTTAAATAACTACATAAAATCATAATTAAATAAATACCACTTGATTGTTTAGCTTTTACATAGTTGACAACATGTTTGTGGGGAAGGAGTAAGAAAAATTTTAATTATAAAAGTATGGTTATTTTCAAATAGTTTACTGAAAGAAGGTAAGTTTATAAAACTCTGCAGAAGTCACTAAAGCCACTATGGAAAAGAAAAAAGGGAAGCAAGGAAGAAAGAACTTGGATAAAAATAAACATAATAGACCAAGTTATGAAAAAGAAGAGTAATACATCTAAATAACTGCACTGTGATTAGCAATTTGTTATTGAACACATTTTCTACCATCACACTTAAAAAAAAAAAAAAAGGCAAATAAAATAAGCAATGCAGATTTTTGGAAGATGAGAACACATCCCACAGAAGATCTGTGGGTGAAAATCTGGCTCCTCTGAAGCCAAAAGCAAAATTCCTATTGACTGTAGCTGGAGTTTTCTTTATGCATGTAAACTCCTACTGACCTGCAGTGCCTTTATTCCCTTTTGACTTTCAGATTTTTTTTCTTTCATGCTGTATGTTGAATTGTAACTTAGACAACATGTAATAATGTAATAAATGTAACAAATGTAATAAAACAGTGTGCAACACATGAAGATTCAGCAGTTGACCAGCATTCTCTGAGTTTAAGCAAACTTCTGCCAACAACTGCAACTGGGCAACCTCAAAGTTTGCTCATGTTTAGAACAAGTATAGAATTTGATCTGTTTGCTGGCACATCTTTATAACCTGGCAGAAGTAAAGAAAGGGTGTGCTAATCTGAAGATGGGGCAAGGTATTTGAAGCATTTAATTTGTCCTGGGATACTGCTTAAATTATTTTGGCACTGCTGTTCAGTACATCAGTGAAAGGAAATGGACAGCTCAAGGGGTTTGAGTTAGATGGAGGTAGATGGTTCAAGTTACCAAGGTGATTATACCTTTCCTGGACTTTCTCTGTGACCATAGGTGCATCACTTGACCTTTTTTTGCCTCAATTACTCATTTGTAGATGCTAATAACATTCTCTGCCTAAAGGGGAAGTCGGGTTAGTGTAAATGCAACAAAACGTGTGACATTTTCAGAAAAGAAAGAAATAAAAAAAATAAGTACAATACATGATAGTTTATTGTTGGTGCAAGAGTCCCACTCATATTGGTGGAGACGTGTAAGAGTGTGATGCAGGGACAGCTGCACTGGTTTCAAAGCACATCACTGCATTTATGCAGAGCTGCATCGAGAGAAAAAGGTCTCAAGCAGGTTCAAAGAGGCCTGGTGACAGCAAGGCATGAATGTGACTGTCCTCTTTATAGATTCCTGTTAGTGTGTCTGCAGGGTGCTGATACACACAAAGATTTTACTGACTTCCATTTCCAGGAGTACAGGCATATCTGCCTCACTCCACTGCAAATGTTGACATGTCCTTAGGAGGATTTTAAGGAATGAGTGATCAGAGACCCTAGGTGCAAAGCACTGTGAAACAGAGGGCTTGGAGGATTTTGGGGTGTATTTGTAAATACTGCAAGATGATTTTTTTCCTACTTTATTGTAATTGCATTGTAACACTTTAAGTGCATTGTAACAAAAGAAAAATCAATGTTCCTTTTCCTACCGCAGTGTGAATTGACACAAGGCACAAATACAAAGCTTGGTTTGTTGTTATTTAAACTCCTTTAATCCTAGTAACTGGCGCTTGTGGAGAAGGGAGGCATACTTGGAGAGAAGCCATACTTTTTCAAATTGATTAAAAACACCTTTTGAACAATAAATAACTTTAGCTGGATGACCTCTAAAGCAAATGATACTACAAAATTCTGAAGTATACAATAAGATTCCTTTTCCCAGCTCTTTTGAATGTTGGCTTGTCAAGCATTCCTTTTGACAAGCTTCCGCCTAAAAGTTCCGTTGTCAAACAAGAATGCTTCCAGTAGACATTGCAGGTTAAAAATATTCAAGAGAAAATAACATATTTTTGCTCAGTGTGGGTAATTTAAGTGCTGTTTGATCACATATAGATAACACTGGAGAAATTGCTGGCATTGTTTCATGGCATCTGATAGAACAAGTCAATAAATTTTACTACAAGTTGGCAGCAGGAAGAGCTGCTGCAGGTCAGGTCTGAGGTGAGCACAACTTTTATAAGTATTGAAGGAGACAGTGAAATTAAGTCAGATTGCAGGAGCTGGAGAAAGCAAAGAGCATAAAGCCAAGGATGTGGACCTAGGTTTTTTCTTTCTTTTTGTTTTTGGTTTGGGTTTTTGGTTGGTTGGTTGGTTGGTTTTGTTTGTTTTTGTTTGGGAGTTGCTTGTTTGTTTGTTTGTTTTCCTCTGCAGAACTGACTGGCTTATAAATTGGCACCATAGACATTCAATCCACAACATCTGTCAGTCATTTTAAAAAAATATACAATAGGTCAGAAAAGCTCAAAAAAGTACACAGGGTAGCATGAAAGAGACATAAATGAGCAAGGAAAAAGGCATCTGGTATGAAGATACATTAGTTTACTTTTTGAAAGGATCTCACTCTGCAGGGATCTCACTTGCTTGTAAAGCTTGGCTGCCTAAATGAAGAGTCTACAAATGAAAAATATTGTTATTTTCACAAATGTCACCAGGCTGCAAGTGCTTGCCTACTGTTAACCCAGCTGTCTACCCAGCTCTTATTGCTTCTTTTTTTTTTTTCCAGTTAAACACAAACCAATACAAAAAAGATCTCCTCAGAAAATAAGATTTTGTTATTTCCCCTTAGTCCTAATGTATCAAATTTCTAACTGTTTTCCTCAAGGTCTGAGAGGACAGGATAACTCAGCTCTTCTCCAGCAAAAAGCTTGCTGAAACCTTTGTATTTCTCCACAGATCCTGGTACTCTTTCAGCAAAGTTTTTATCACCATATCTGCTGCAATTTAAGGTGAAGGAAAGAAGGTCTATTTATGCTTTTTATGAATTTAAAATTACATATGAAAGCATCAATCTCAAGCTCTAAGTGTTGAGTTCAGAATAACCTCCTCTCTCTCAGCTATAGCTTAAAACTGGAGCTGCAAATTTCCTCCATGGGTTACCAGGTTCCATTGCAGTTTACAAAGAAAACACAAACACCATTAAAGCAGAGAATTTTCTTCAAAACTGTGTATTCAAGCTCCCAAGAGTCCTTTACAAGATGTGGCAGAGAATCTAAATTTAAAACGCAAAGCACATGAATTCTAACCTAAGCATTCAAGTGCTGCGAAAGGCCCATTGCTTCTTGTAAGAAATGCTGTTTCACAGATATTGGAAAGTTTATTTTGCCCTTTAAAAGGATGTAACACTTATTAAAAGTCAGCTAAGGAACTCAAATCTGGTATCAGCTTCTGCCTGTGGTGCATGAAACATTAATGAATCAAGTCCAGAAATCTTACTAGCTAATCCATTACTGTACATAAGTTGCATCTTCATGTCCTGCAGTGAAAGGGGTCATTTGAAGAGAAAACGTAACTAAAAAGAAGGCATATCTGGAATAGTGACAGGCTGTCTGAATTTATCTTCTTTTCATGATCCCAGAGAATGAGTAAGTTCAACCAAATGTGATGCATCTTAGAGTGCAACACTACAGAAACTGGGGCATCTTTTATTTACCCCCATCATTTAGACACTGGAACATTTCAATATTTGAAATAAACACAGGCTTCTTTTAAGTCATGCAACTTCTGTTATAGGTCACTGGAGCATTTGAGATAAACACTCTGAAATCTGTTTAATTGCATTAACAATTAATTAATTTTATTGTATTAATTTTATTCATTTTTCAGCAGAACAGAATTATCATCTACAAAGAGATAAAAGTTTGTACCATCATAGTAATTTTTTATGAACAGGTGAACACTTCAGAAAGTTTAAAAGCCACCACTGCAATTCATAATTTTATCTAGCATTACACAGGCTTCACATCCATCCTCTTAATAAAATGCAAAAGATCAGGATCCTAGAAGTTCAGGTGTGCAGTTTATTACACTGGGAATGTCCACCACACAAGAACAGTCTTCTGAAATTTCCTTACAACTAACTTAGATTTTGCATTGTGAAAAAAAGGAAAAAAAAAAAGGTAAGGTCTTACTAATTTTGTTTTTCATACAGTGCTCAAAAAAGGAAAGTAAGAATTATTTCTACTTTTTCAATATTATTATACTGAGTGAATTCGCAGTTCTCTTTAAAGATGTACATTTCAATTCACAACATTTAAATTCTTGACTTTTGTTTAGATTTGTTGGTTAGGTTTTTTTGGTCAACACAGCAAATTCCAGTAAAAAAATATTTTTTGTCTTAATTTTTTTTCCAAATTAAAATATTTCAGACCTTTATTTCTAGAATGTTTGTGTTTATATAGAAATTCTGTGTCTCTTAAAAAGTGACATCTACTTTTGTCCGAACACTTGCAAGCTAGAC